TCAGAGCATGTTTTATTCATTAATACTGTATTTTTATAGATTTTTAGAACTTGAGACTACAAATATTCGTTTTGTGATCTTGACCCATAGAGATGTATATCTATGGATTATTTACAACATGAATTACTGTTCCCATATATCTTAGAGAAAAATTTATGTTAATATGAAAACTTTAATAAAACGATCTTGCATTGCAGACATTGTCTATTCTGCTAGTATCATCAGGCAGAATATTCTCATAGATAGAGGAGAAAGACTCTTTAAATCCCACAACATCTTTGTTACGATGAAAATACATTTTATATATGTTACTGTATTACATGTAGGTATGACATTTATCTTGGGGCCTGATGGACAGGATATTACAAAGAATATTCAATACGGTAAAAGAATGTTAGACGCATTGATTGACATCGTTCAGGGAGTCAGTTTTATAGAGTGTACTGAAGAGTGTATCAGTCGGAGACGATGTTTGTCTGTGAATTACTGGAGAGGTATGCTGTTATGTGAGATGAACAGTGTGAACACATCGTCACATTCACTCTCAGATGAACCCAGGACAGTGTTTGCTAGCATCTCATTATTGGAACAGGTAAGATACTACAATTTCATAATGTTCAATCTAAATTATTCACATATTTCAATTTTTACGAATTTAATATCTTGAAGGGCAATTCCTTATATAACCCTTAGTGAATGTTTCTTTAGTTTGCTACGGTAATGAAAAATAAACTTTGAGTTACTTTAGTTACTTGAGGTCTCAAACTTTGATTATTCATAGTAATTACTTTGATACTTTGATTTACTATAGTGATAAATTTGACACTTTTATTTACAACAGTGATAACTATGAGACTAGAGAGATCACTATGACTCTATGATAATAAAAACTTTAAAAACTTTATTTATTACAGTGAGCTATAGTTTACTATCTTTTTTTTCCTTAGGGTTCACTGGAGTCCTCATTTTAGATTTTTTTAAAACAAATTTTAAAATGTAATTTTACCATTTAAAAAGTAATGATTTGAGATAAATGTTACAATATATGTGATACTAAAAGACATGTGATAACCCTGAAAATACTACGAGATATATAAGTAATGTTTTGAATAATTGTTACAATGTATGTGATACTGAAAAAAAATATGTGATAACTCTGAAAATACAACGAGAAAAATTATTGACCAATAATATACCATTGGTTTTCTTTAATTGATTATTGGGTTAGCTATATGATTCACTTAAATATTGCATGGTTGCAGAAATCCTGAAAGAAATCTTTATTTCATATTTCATGGCCTTGCTTTCAGAAATTACTGAAAGGAAGAAGTAATCAATGACCTAAACGGGTTTCTTATTTAATAACCAAAGCTTTATTGCTGTAACAAGTTTTAATGACTCTTTGTTCGAAATTTTGTCTTAAAAAATTGAGATTCCAAATTAAGATTGATTTTTATCAACAACAAAAAGCTAGTATTCAAATGCAACAAATGTTAAGCATGAAGCGAGGCTTACATTTTCATAAATTAATCCGACATCCATTTATGATAAAGAAAAAATTGACAGTGAGAGTGAATAGAAGAAATAAGATTACCATAACATAAAATTAAAAGTATGATGTATATTTAAAAACATTTACATTTTTAATTGCTTTCTTTCTTACAACTCTTTAAAAGTTAAATGAGTTGAGTTCTTCATAATAACACTTGAATGTTATTTTCGCCTTGTGGAAAGTCGGGAGCCTAATATGCATGTCAATCACGTGCTGCTGTCTTTGTGTATGACGATAGTGGGCGAGGACTATTGAAATTAATATGGAGCGCCTCTTGTATTTTAAATCTAGTAAAAGTAACTTTTTTCAATTTCTATTTACAATTTTATTTCATTTATAATTGTAAATATAAGAAATCACTGCTTAGTTTGTCGGGTATGCCAGGAACATCAATGACAGTTGGAAACGTGGAATGATTTATGCATCATGGGCTTCGCCCGTTATGCAAATTATCCCACGTTTCCAACTATCGTTGATGTCCTGGCATACTCAACAAACTAAATAGTGATTCCTTAAATAATATGAAGTGAAATACATAATTAAATCAAATTAGGTAACAAAATGAAGACTTTTTGTCATAATATCACATTTTTATCTACACTTGTGAAAAAAGTGCGTCCATCAGAGACAGTTACCTTTTCTAGGGATTCTACGATAATTATAAAATGCTATATATGTTTCGTGGTAGATTATGCTGGATCTTTAAATTTCAATTGAAGGAAAAGAAATGATAAAACAGTGTTTGTAACAGGTTATAAAACTGAGTGAGATTTGCTAAGGTAAAATTATAAATAGCTATTTATTATTGGCAGAAGAAAATACAATAAAATTATTGATTATTTGCGTCCCATTGACTCTTCTGTCAACAGGTTTTGTATCTACAAAGAAATCATAAAACAGAGCAAAATCCTGCCTACTTAAGTATCATATGCAAACGAAAATGAAACGTTGGACAATTCTTAGTTATAATTTTCGTACTTATCAAGTTATCTCTCTTACCAGAGAGTCAAAGATTGAATTATTTGTTCAAAACATATTTCATGTTTTTATTTAAGACTTTTCTTCCCTTTTTTCAGCAAATCATTGGCGGCTGTAGTAATCATCAATGTGCAATTAACATGAAATGTGTTCCTGGTCCTCTTGGGAATCATGGGTGTGAAATTTCAGGTACCGTATGAATATGCAGAATATTTTGATGAATGATCAAGGTTAGAAAATACCAAAAAAGTCAGTATCTGTCAATTTTGGTTAAAGTTAGAAACTTTTTTAAAGAAAAAAAATTGTCTGAAAAGCCATAATGTGCCCTTATTAACCTTTCAAACAGCTATGTTGAGGCTGTCCAAAGCATAAAATTATTTAAAAACATACCATAACATTCCCAACTCGGTTCTGATTTTAATTTGTAGACTATGAACATAAATACAATTTGTACAGGGGAATCTTTAAACTACACATCTTTTGCGATATCACATGATCTGATTGATCAAGTGACAGTCAATTATAAGTTTTGCACATAAATCGTTCCGGTGTGAGTGCATAAGCAGCTTTTACATAAATTTTGTTTGAAAATAAATTTATTGTCCCCAAGTGTACATGAAAAGTGCTACGGACGAGCCATAGTATTATTAGAGTACGAAATATTTCATGAGAATTTCAACTTACCCACATATCGAAGGGTATTTCCACTCTTCATTAATTTCGAAGCTATCCTATTATACTGCCATTCCATGCAACATTCATTTAGAGAACAGAACAATGTCATTCTTTTCTTATAAATTTTCTCAAAATATTTAAAGTTGATCATTATAAATAACTTACGCCAGCCTGTTATATACACACATATAATTTTTACCGCTAACAATGCTTTGTAAAGAATTGAAGTTACCGTGCTCAAAAATCCAATGAAACGATTTAAAATTTGATCAGAGCAAACACACGGACCTCTGAAAACATCTGTAATTTGAATAAGGATTGTTCATTCCCTGATGACCGTTCTCAGTGCCATATAGACTCCTTTTTTTAGATTTATCGTTTAATTAAATCAAAGTTTACATTCTTATAATCTATTGTGAGGATTAACTCACACTATTAATAAAGAAATATTTTCTTGTCAAAGGAAGCAGTTATCTGTCCTAGATGAAAAGAGATCAATATATATATATATATATATATATATATATATATATATATATATATATATATATATATATATATATATATATATATATATATATATATATATATATATATATATATATATATATATATACATATATATATATATATATATATATATATATATATATATATGAATTTGCAGATTGTGGACCCCTTCCTAGCTTGAAAAACTCACTAGAAGTAAAGTCAAATGGACAGATACTTACAATAGGAATTGGTCCACTTAGAATATTCCAATGCTATCCATGGGTTTATGAGAAAAAGTATAGACAAAAATTCATCTGTCAGTCTAACGGAAATTGGACACATTTACAAAACACCACATGCGGTATGTGCAAACATTATTAATATGATCAACAATGTACATGTAAACAAGTTAATATTTTTTTTTAGTATTTCGTTAAACATTTTCATTGAGTGGGCAATTAGAACACATCGTATTATTTATCATTACTCAACGGTTTGTCAAGGTGAAATCTTATTTTAAGTCTTCCCTCAATTTTTCTTTAAAACTTGTATTTATTTTCATCAATCCTGTTTTTAGATTTGTTAACATGTGCCACGGATGTGACGTCGTTTGAGAATCTGAATATAAACAGAGAAGAAATTGAAGTACCATATGTTTACTCTAAGGGATACAAATGGATCGTAAGTCACTGAATTAGTTTTCATTTTAAATCTATTATTTTTTTAAAGTCCTTCAACATTTTCGGGAGTTCACATTTTGATATCAGAAGTGTATATAACCAAGAGGAAAAGTGTTTCTCTTTTTTATGCACTCTCAAATCCTTTTCCTACTTACCGATCATTAACAACAAAATGAATGCATTTTCCAGCCATATTCTTGATTTGGCACTCCTGGATAGATTTTTGACTTAATAAAATATATTTTTTCACTGTTGCACTTGGGCTTCAGGTGGACAAGATTTGATTGTAAATATCATAGAAAAGGACAAAAAGAAATAAATAACGCCTGATTTAAATTATTTTCGGCCGCTTGTTTTCAAAAAAAAATTCTTTTCCGGAATTTTAAGGAGAAGTGCAGCCATCTTCATCATTAGCTTTTTCAGGATTTATTGCTCATTCTTGATACATTGATGCAGTTTTCACTGTCAAACATCGACATACAAAATAAATATTTTGCCATTTTTTACAAAATAAGTCTCTCTGATTGCTCATTAGTGTCATTTTCCTGTCAGCTCCAAATAGCAAAAGTTGTTATATGCGATTATGATATGGTAACGACTCTGAACACCCATTGTCATAAATGATGTTTGTATATTCCATGTCTTATCCCTCCCTCAATGAACCTGCTCTCACCATCTGGGTTTAAAGACTATGAACCCAAATACTTCTGCTATGATTACAGTTCGTTTCTCACACTCGCAAAGAAGAAGCTACAACGATGTGACCTGTTAGGAAGATATATATATATATATATATCAGACAAAGCGAACTTTCCGGATTAATTTCTAGATCGATTTCACTCTAAATGATTTTTCCAAAAAAGAAATCCTTTTCTTTAAATAACATGAAAACATTCACTTTTTTGATAATAATAATATTTCTCACAAAGACAAAGACGTCAACTATATCTAAACAAAAAAATACAATTTAAAGACGGCGCAATGTGAAGCCAGATACCAGGGGTTTAGAAGCAATACCATGTAAATTGTACGTGATTTATAGGAAATAAATTGGATTAATCAGTTCTGCTGCTTTTATTGACATCAGGTATTTTTTTCCAAGCGGGTATGTGAAGGAAGCATACAAATGAATTCTCGGGGAAATTAGACTTTAAAAAAAAAAAATCAAGTTTTATAATTTATCAAAGTCGTCAATAAAACGTTAACTGTTATTAACTATTGCATAAAGACAACATAGTGTCTGAGGCCAAGAGGGGCACCACCACGACGTCATCACGTGACTGCTACTACTGGGAAAATATTCCTTAATAAAAAAAAGTTAACAGAACAACACTACCCCGGAGTTTAAATAAATTTTTTGAGTAAATAGAATAGTTGAAAAACATCTCTTATGCCGAAAAAATGCTGCTAGAATCCCACTTTCCGGTCGGGAAAATAATTATTCCACATATTCGCACGAAACCTTACCCGATTTTTTGCTTTATTTACATACAACACGAGATGTTTCTTCAGATCATGTTTACATCACGACTCTAGCAGCACTTTCCAAATATTATAGAACACAAGCTTTCGATATGCACAAATCTTGTGTTTTGAAGTATCCAGCTTAGTGTTGTACTTTTGCATTATTAATATCACGAATGACAGAGGAAAGACCGACCGGGATATGTAAATAGCTGACTGTCTTCAATAGAAGTTATAATCGATGAAAATAAATTAGCATACCTGTTTAACAAACTTTACCTTCACACGAAGCACACACAATATTCACGGTATTTGCTTCTAGACATCCTTTTACGTATCTTTTTACATGCCGTCTTAGCCAAATTCTCGTTACACAACATGATCAATTCTCAAGTAACTTGTTGAACAGTTATGACGTCATCGGTCGGGAGATTTTAATTCAAGTGACAGATACAGTATAACAAAATAAAAAAAAAAAATATTTTTGTTAATATTTGCAAGTTTCTATTGATTTTCTGGAGTAAAATGATATCTCTAAATAACAATATTAAGAAAACTTGTGTTCTAAATTTGACGCCATCTACCCTACTATGACGTCATATTGTATCACTGATTTAGTCAAGTCAGATTATCTTAGTGCTTCCTTAACACACTTAGGCTTGCGCAGTTAAGACGACCATATCCTTATCCAGGTCAGGATTAACTCTGATATTCTAGACAACATCACTCTGTGCAAATATAAATAATAAACATTTTTTTTTTTTTGTAAACATGTTGTTACATGTATGAATTAGCATATGTTACGTTGTTCATAACACCATGTACACTGCAAAACGTTGTTCATTTCTTAAATAAATTTCTTAGTATTGAATACACATGTTTTTGACACTTTTTTCATGTTTTTGACACTTTTTTATTAGGTGATACAAAGAAGATGTTTTGACAACGCAGACTTTTATAGACGTTGGTCTGACTACAAAGCTGGTTTTGGTAACTTCAAAGAGAAATCAGATTTTTGGATCGGTATGCCTGAGAATTGATATAGATGTAACATCAAAAAATAGCAATGTTTTACATTTGATTAGACTAATTTATTTAAATTATGGAATTTTTCTCAATTATTTAAGTTCTTACTCAATTATTACTAAAAATGGATACACATATGATTTTGCAACAGGAAATGACGCAATCCACATGTTGACGAGAAATGGTTACAATCATATGAGAATTGAAATGCTGAGGACAGACAACGAGCTAATAGAGGCAGAATACAAATATTTCTTTGTCGGCGATGAACACACCGAATACAACTTAACAATCAATGGATTTACGGGGTTATATGGTGAGAAAAAAATATACATGCACATTGGAATAGGGTAGATTACATAGACTGAGGTACTGTTCTTTTGAAAATGATATACTTTTGTGAAACAAGAGGTAACATGAATTGTTTTATATATATATATATATATATATATATATATATATATATATATATATATATATATATATATATATATATATATATATATATATATATATATATATATATATATATCCTAACTTACTCAACTGTTTATACGCATATTTTGGAAATAAAAATAGAAAAAAAAAATAGTTAGGTACTGTGAAAACACAAATTAATTTTCGTTGTTTTCAAGTAATGAAGAGACCTACGCATTCATGTACTCAATGGAATGTTAATTTTTGAACGTACAGTATAATGTCTGTCTGCACGAAAATCAATCCCTTGGAATCATTTCTTTTTTCGCAAACAACGAAAATTTCATCCTACGAAAATAGTTCATTTTACGGTATTATATAAACTATGTGTATGAAGATTTTTTTTTAATTATATATATATATATATATATATATATATATATATATATATATATATATATATATATATATAGAACCGTTTTGCTAGAGTGTTCTCCACATTCTTTATTTAATTTATAAATAGTCAACATTTTGGAATATGGTCCGGTCTTCTTTATTTGATTTTAACATGGTTTTGAATCAGGAGTTTCATGACAAAAAAAATGTAGAAACTACGCTTCGTTTGAGAAACTCTCTTGTGCTTTCTGAGTTATGGTATGCTACATCCAAGTCGTTTTGTAGTAAACTCATAAAACTTTAGCTCCTACCGCAATATTTAATTTTTCTTAATTGTATCTATTAAAAGGAGTTAAACATGACACATATCATAAGTGACATTTAATAAAATATGGACATCCAATATTTCTTCACCTGGATTACTGTGATCCAGATATGAATTTGCCAGTGCCATGAATTCGAAGATGCTAGTGACCTTGATCTTGCCAGAATGACTGTTGGTCAAATTTACAACATACCTTCCGCTCATTATCTTTGTTTGAACTTCCAACACTCAATAATTCCATTTCAGAGTCATGAACTCGTCATAGAGTTTATACTTTTTTTCTGCAAGTAACCTTGAGCTTTCCGAATTCGTTTCATGGGCATGACACACTCTCAGATCATAAGCAGGCTTTATACCAAGGATTCTACATCTATAGCCCGGTCATGATTGCAAGGACAGACGGGCCAGGCGATACCTATATACCCTTTAAATTTTGTTTGCAGGGGATTTATAATTTTAAACAGTGTTTTAAGATCCTTTAAAAGCTAGTAATTCTCAGTTCTACATAATAGTGTTTTAGGGCGCATAAAATCTGCATTTCTTTTGCATTATGTAAATTACTGCGAAAATAACTAGCGGATCCAGGAGGAGGGGAGGGGGATTAAGGGTTTTGAATCACCCTAGTATTTTCAAAAGTATAAATATTAGCTTCAAATTTAAACCTTTACTCGTTACTTAAAGTCACTGAGCAGTGAAGGATCTTTTTCATGCTACATGTAACACCTTCATTAATGTCTCATGAAACACCCACAACTTTATTTCAAAGTGCCGAGGGTTTGACAAAGAAAAAGTTGCCACCTATTTTTATTGACTTAGGTCTGTCGCGGCGGGGGATGAACCCACGATTTTCCGATTATCGAATGAGCACTCTATCGACTGAACTACCGTGACGGTTAATTATATTAAATGTAGGAAGGAAGGCTGCTGTTCTTTGAGAATTATATTTTGGATTTTGTTTTTCTATTTTTATTATTTTTTTTTTTATTTTAGGAAATATTTCTATGCAGGAAAATACCAAAATATTCCGTCACTTCTTCCTCCTTACAGTATGCTTGCGCAGAAAATGTTCAGGAAGTTACCACGATTTCAAGTCCCAAGAAATAATTGTCGGTAAACCGAAAATATTGATACAAATAAAAAATTATATCAGACCATAGTTTTTGCTTTGCATGATCTAATCCAATGGTGTGTTAAGATTTACCACATAAATGAAAGTCGAGTAACCTTGACAAAGATAGCAATGATGCCAGTTTATACAGCCTTTGTTTTTCCGACACATGTTTTGCAGTCTTTGCATACCTTACCGTGCAGTTGAGTTTGTCTGACTTCTCTTGCATCATTTTCTTTACAATTCTTTTATTTTATGTCCAATAAAATACAATAGCATATGATTTTGACTCTTTATGTAACTTTGATAATATTCTTTTATACATTTCATTTTTCGAAAATGTGTTTGATTAAAATTGATTATGAATACTAGTTTAAAAAAAAAAAAGACGACTTACAAGTTATATAAGCCGAGTCAGAAAATCCACAAAGAAAATGTGGTAGCCATGATTAATTCTGATTGTTAGATTGTGTTACATAAAACTACATATCTAAATGTATCAAATTAAAAACTGATATCTCTTTAACTTTTAGATTGTCTGTCAAACAAAACTAATAAAAGGGCAAACGCTGATGGGATGAAATTCACCACAATTGATGCAGACAACGATCTATGGGATTATGGAATCTGTGCAAATATATGCAAGTCAGGCTGGTGGTTTAATTTTTGTACATGTGGGAATATTAATGGATTGTTTGGAAATGAAAAAACAAGTATCGCGTCTGAAATGCGTTGGAGGTGCTCAGGCTCGCAAGACTGTACCCTCAAAGCCACCAGAATCCTGATCAGACCATAGATGTTATGAAATTATAAGTACAACAGATTGGAAACATACCATAGATGTGATAAAATATTGCAAATTTAATGGCAAGAAGAATTCATACAAATTTTAAAACAGTTTACAGTTCAGATACACTAGAAGTTAGTTTTTAAAGAAATAAACAGTTACTTGCTTCTCTAAAGAGACATTTGTCTATGGCTACGTTTGCTAAACGTATTTTGCTTGGGTAACTTTTGAAATGTATTGATTTTATGAATCATACGTATCTGTTTTACACCAATAAAAGATTATTTTATTAGTGAAATATAAGCCTATATAACATCAAAAGAATTCCATGATGTACGATTTTTTTTTTTCAATTGACGGATACCCCAAACAAAAGAAATGAAATATGCTCAAAAAGAACAACTTGAGCAAAAAATGGAAGTTGATATTGTAGATTTTATACAATTAAAATTCTTTTTATTTTCATAGACTGGATAAATTAACACTTTTAGTACCACATATACATTCAGTTTATTCGAAGGTTATAAACTGAAAATGTCCATGATGAATGTTAGAAGGAAAAAGTATTGGAGGGCCGCTAAGCCCCGGAAACTTTTTTTTCTAACAAAATGAACAATTTTTGGCCACTATTGTACTTAAAACTGTTTACTATTGTGTTCATAATGCACCCTTATACCATTGCTTCTCCTTTTTCAGTAGAAATTCATTTTTTTAACTTTAACATCCCTCTGTAGGTGTAGGGCTGCGAATTTCCACCTATACTCGGCACTTGGGGCTTTGAGCAGTGAGCGATCTTTTTCGAGCCAGCACTTACTGTGACACGGGACCTTGGTTTATACTGCCTCATCCTAGGACCGATTTCCAAGTCCCAAGTAGGATTCGAACCCGCGACGTACCTATCAATCTCTTTCTCTGCGACTCTAGAACAAACTCTCTAACCACTGCGCCACACGAGCGACTTATCTGAACTAACCATTGTTTTCTTATTGGAATACCTCGGGTAAAGGGTTTGTTTACAATTTAGAATAAAATCTTTGTAATTGTAATTTCACTGGACTGTTACAAGTAAGTGTTACTTGACCGAATAAAGCAACAAGCTGTGGCATTCCATCATCATTTTCTTTCGATTGGGAATACTGAAAACAATAATCTTTTGAGGGAAAACATTTTTCTAACAAAACAAATTCAGATGAAAAGCAATCTAGTATTCATGCAAAGTCCATCCTAAGTGATATCTTGGAATTTGAGAGCTAGGATGTTTCTGTAAATGAATTTCGGTCAAGGCAGTTCGGGTCGTAGAAAACAAAATAAAAAAGAAAAGAACAAAAAGAAGAATTCCTATTATTGAATCAAAAATTTTTAGAACATTTTGTGAGAAGAGACGTATTGCAGAAAATGATGCAGATATATCGGTAATGGCTGTTTCACTAACCGACAGGGAAAAACGTTAAGCAGTATACATCATTGATGGTTTTTATGCTTTTGGAGAAAATGATGAGAGATGAGGAAATCAACAAAACTGTGAGCTTTTTGTCAGAAGCAAAGCAGTCAAACACTATAGACTAAACATCCGCGCGTTTCTATCGCAAACGATGAGCTCCGGCAAAAAGAGAGAGCAATTATTCAGTCTGAAAAAGGTGACGGATTCTTTCCAGTAATGCACAAGGAAGGCGAAAACAACATGTGATGTTCCTGATGTTTTGATAGTGTAAGTGCGACTCAAAAAGAATTCGAAAACATTTTACTCAAGTTAAGGTTTTGACAATCGATTGCAAACTTTTGTTCATGTTATTGTGAGTTAATTTTTTTCAAATATAAATTCCAAAAGTTATAAGCAAATATAAATTCCATAAGTTATAAACAATTACAAAATATTTGTTTGTGTTTCCGTTACTTGCAGTATAAACTCATTTTTTAATTTTCTAAATTTTATTTTTAATTTTTTTTTTATTTATTTATTTTTTTCATTTTGGAGAAATATTTTTAATACATCGATTAAATATATCTATAAAGGTCTGTGTTTCCTTTTTTTTTTTTTTTTTTTTTTTTTTTTTTTTTTTTTTGAATCCGATAACCTATCTGTAGACATCTTAAATCTTTTTAATTGCTGCCCATTATCTTTCAAAATATTTATAAACAAAAACAATGTAATCTTGATTTCTATTCAGCATCTTCAATGACAGGCTGGGGGTTTAATGAGGGGGACAGAGGGAGACGTTGATTATTACTTCTGTTTTTAATAAAACAAAAATAGTTTTGTTTCCCATGAAGTTACCATACCCTCATCCTCACAACATCACAACTAAAAAATCATGTATGGGCGTTTTATGAGATGCCTGATATCTACACATGCAAAATCCCTTTTAGAATCCCTTTAGAATTAGAGCTGTATTAGGTTTTGAGAAAGTGTGTCACTGTACACTCTAGATAGTCTTACTATAGAAACGAAAAACATAAAGTGACTTTTTCATATTTAAGGTCACCGAAACTTGATAAAATGTTGATGTCTACATTTCACACTCCCTATAGATGTTCCTTGATTATTGCATCTAAACTTTTCAATTAGAGGCAAACTATACATTGTCCAGATATTGACCATTTAAAACAAATTTCTCCAAGCGTTCTTGCTTTTCCTCTTACATTATACACATGAAGTCGTGTAACTCAAATGTGGACTCTCAAAAACTCCAAAGAACTTTTTGGGAAATTTAATACAAATCAAAGCTCTTCTTTTCAAAAATTAATTAATAGTATCAAAACATATATACGAATGTTGTCCCAAAAAGTCGTAGACAATGTTTCTAACTTTGTAAACATTCAACGAATAATAACCAAATTTTGCAAAACCATAATTTTTTCCAATGTTCCTTAAAGTAGAGCATTTTTAAATCAGATCTTTAATAGTAATCATATTATGACGATTAATTTATAGGAAGGCCAATACGGTCTGTCGGCGAAAGAACAAAATCCGGAATAATTTACGCATGTAACTATTCCAATTGCACTTTTTTCTCTGCTTATATGTAAAACATCAAACTCAAATCTATATCAGTGAAATCGGAAGCAAAATCTTATTATTATATCAAATTTTCACGTCAATAGCATCATTGACAAAGGATTGGTGTCGTTATTTTCAAAATGTTGTTAGAATTGAGTTTGCAGCAAATGGAGTCGTCAAGCTCCTTAGCGGCGCAAGGGAATGTATTAAATTGCTTCAGATGTAGTTTGTCCACTTCAGAGAGGGACAAAATGATACAGAAGTGACTTAACACACTGGAACAGTAGAGATGTTTTTAATGGTATAAGAGATTCTAGGACATTTTTTACCTCCGTACCAAAAATAGTTACGCTAATAAGATGTAGAGTACTGTTTGTTAAATTCAGACGGAAAGGAACGTTATGTGTCACGATCGACGTCAAATTTTGGTTATTCTCTTCTACATACATGTACAATGTAAGGCGACCTTTCTAGGACGGAAATTTGAATCTGATAAACAAAAACTATTGACCTTGGTAAATTTTACTGAGTCCCTCAGTCACCAGTGGTTTTCCACTTGAAAAAATAACGAGAAGCTTATAAGAGATGCTTGTTAAACACACGGGACAATATACATAAAAATGATTATGACGTTATAAGAGACGTAAATTACGTTTGCTTTTGTGCGCCTTCTTCATTTTTACATTTTTTTTTTTTCTTATTTAATGTGTTATTATCATGATACTTGAAATTCATGATTATAAAATGTTGCTTTTTACTATGAAAAGAAGAAAAATTTAATCTGGCAAAGAAAAACAAAATTATTTTCCTGGTCTATGACTTATTGGGACAACCCTCGTATGTGATTTTTCAACACTTAGACAACCATTCTTGATGATAAATTACATGTAAACAGCACGTTTTTGACGTCAGAGACAACTGGTTTGCGATAATATTGGAACTGGTAACCTTTAATACCTTGCTTTTGGACATCCCATTGACAATATACAATTTCTGACATTTGATAAGGTCTACTCATGACTATAGGGACCTTGACACGTATTGGTTTTCCGAGACCGAATGCCCAGGTTAACCAATACCTAACCAAGTCCGTATAGTCGCAACTAGAATTAATTCAAAAGTTAAAACTGTTTCATTAAAAAATTTAAAAAAATAAAACATTTTTTTTTCACTAAAGCTCTTGTCTCCAAGAAATATAAACACTCATAATTCAATGTGTTATGAAACAACATATCCTTATTATATATATTCCAACAGTTTAAAAGCTGTTTAACATAATGAGGAACTATATTATATAACAATAAATACTTAACTATTTACAAATATGAGTGAAGTCTCTTTGATACATTCGTCTACGATGTTTACGTTTCACACTATTTAAAATGCAGAATTTGGTCGGTAAAAATGTTAGCAAGTCTATGGTTTGTTAAGAGTGAAAACCCAAATAAACCTTTTGAAAGTTCATTTCGAGGTGAACTTACTCTGAGGTACACCTCAGGAAAAGAGTCTGAACCAATTAGAGAGCATCAAAATACCTGATCATTTAATATCAAATATGTTGTTTTTGAAGAGAAGGTCTTTCAACAATCTGTTATAATTTCGACGGTCACTAAATGTGCTCCTTTATTAGCATACGAGATATGAAGTAAAAGGTAAAAAAAAATTCTAAAAGAGAAGAAAAATCTTATGCTGTAGCCTTACACTCGACAATAAAATATATCGACATTTTATCTATGAACAATAGTTTCTTTTATTTATATATCGACACGATATATAGAATAAATCCCAGTAAAACATCACAAAGTCCTCTACATCAGATTCATATTTTGGATGTTTTACTGACCAAAGACGATAATGACCAGCTAACATGTAAACTGTTTGACAAATGGGATGACCTCAGTTTTTCCATCGCCAACTTTCTTTATTAATGTAGTAATATTCAATTTTTGAAGAAGAAAAGAGAGGACATTCATATTTGACCAGACTTGGGGTCAATTACTTTGAAATGTAA